CAAACGAAAAAAGAAATGGACAAAAATCATAATGTGCCTGGGGGCACATAACAGTCCTCTTAACCATCCAATTCCTTGATTCAGGTGTGTTGTACAAAGCAACAACTAAAAGTTGTAGGTTACCGGCCCGCAGGAACTGGAATGGATCATCCCTGCGTCAAGGGCTGCGTTTGATGAAGTTAGTGCTTGGAGACAGGAAAATGCTTTCAACATGCAGGACAATGGACCAGGACCAGATTGAAAATTAACCCAAAAAACATTTATTTAACTTTAGAAAATGCTTTTATGCAGAGAATGAATAACCACATTGAATAGTACTCACATTGTAAATATAGAAGTGTAATATTTTTTAGATCTATGGCCTGTGTTAAAGTTTGCATATTCATCAGAGGTTGCTGATAGTTTGGGGAGCCTAAGAAGTTGGTTAGTTTGCTTTTGCTCAGGCAGGCTCTGCAATTACACATTCATTTTTAATCCCCCCCCCCAATTATCCACTTCTCCATTCAGTGTTTTACAGCAAAAGATCCATGAGACTGTGGTTATTGTTTTATCAACATACTTTCCTTTAACTATTTCACCATTGAGGGAAATAAGTATGCTCTGTAGTGGATTAGCTAACATATAAGGGCAAAGGTAATAACAAATCTAGCATAATCTACATTTTTGATATCAGTGCGGTTTAAAATGGAAGAGGAATTATCATTTAAAATACATCTAAAGCTAGAAACAGATTACATTACATTTTTTAGGTTGATTTAGATAAATTTTTAACTATTGCATATTGATGAAATACCTCTTTACAAAGAACGACAGGTATGGAGAAGTTGACCCTCTAAGATACACCTCTCCTCGTTTGCATAATGAGGCAGAAATGCATACTGAAATGTAAAAACGACAGGCAGAAATAAATAGTGTTGAAGAAATAAAGAGGGTAAAAAAAATACTAAGGAAGAATAAAACAGACAAAAATATTATATCATGCACATAAATAAATTACCTAAAAAATAAGTAATAAATAAAAAAAATTGAAGATTATAACGGAAAATATATAAATAAGGTAATTATTACAAAGGCGAATAAATAAAGAAGATAATTAAAAGAGATATACACATTTATGTCTCACTGTATAATTTAATTTCTACCTACATTTATTTGTTTATTGTATTTTTGGGGGCAATTAATTGTATGCTTATTTATTTATTTACTGAGAATTTATTGATTTATGCATTTATTTTTAAATATGGCAGAGTAGGTCCTCCATACAACAGGAGTTTTAACTTACAAAGTCAAATTGTTGGCAAAGTAACAGGTCAAACGATCCAGCAGGGGGCGCTAATCCAATGAGAAGACCGCCAAAGGAAACGCAGGAAGCGAAGAAGAAACGATATACGTCACAATTCAAAACAATACTGGAAGTTAACCGTGCTGTTTGTTTGCGTGTTTGTTCTATGAAAATATGTCTCAAGCGAAGCCGGACAAAGACAGCCAAGCGTCAGAAGCCAAGAAGGCGATCTCTCTCCCGATCTCCAGAGTGAAGCTGATCATGAAGAGCTCCCCAGATGTCTCAAGCATCAATCAGGACGCTCTCTTCCTCACCACCAAGGCTACTGTAAGCAACTGTTGTAGGCTAAACTAGAGGGTTTACTATTAGCTTCTCTCCGTTCAGTGACTTATAAAAAATACTTAAAGTTTTATTTAGCTTTCTAATTGACTAATGTTGTTGTTGCTTTTAAAGGAGCTGTTTGTGCAACACCTGGCTCTGACCTCCTTTAACAACGGCTCCGGGAGGGAAGCTAACACGCTTGACTACAGCGATCTGGCTAAAACCGCAGAAGAAACCGACACTTTCCACTTCCTCACAGGTAAAACTCTCTGTCACACCTAAAGCCAACAATAACATCAGTCTCATAGTGAGGCATTGGGTTGCCATGCAGAGTTTTTTCCTTCTTTTTTTTTTTCTTTTCTGAGATCCAATATAAGAAAGAAGATGAAAGCCTTTCAGGTTTCTCATTATGGCTGCAACTAAAGACCATTTCGCAAATAGATTAATCTATTGATAATTTTTTAGATTAATCGACTAATAATTGGATAGCCCATGTTCTCCCTAAGCATGCGTGGGTTCTCTCCGGGTACTCCGGCTTCTACCACAGTCCAAACACATGACTGTTAGGTTAATTGGCTTCTCTAAAATTCTCCTTAGGTGTGAGTGTATGTGCGAATGATTGTTTTTCTCTGCCTTGCCCTGGCAACCTGTCCAAGTTTTAACCTTCCTCTCGCCCATTGACAGCTGGAGGCACAAGCACCCCTCGCAACCCCACTCGGGATTAAGCGTGTTTGAAAATGGATGAATGGAATCGGATAGCCACAGATTCCTTATAGAAGAGTTTTTTAGAAATCAAACCAGGTGAAACTACAACTTTTCCACTTGAGGAGATCTGGAAAGAGCATATTGACAGATGAAAACTTTTTTTTTAATCTTAAATGGCAAATGTTTACATATATATTTTTTACAATTTTGGAATAATTACTGCTCTGTCTGTCAGCCTGTACACGTACAGCACTTACACGTATTAGAGTCTCTACACTCCAGTTAACGATTAAACGATTACTAAATTAGATGACGATTATTTCAATAATCGATTAATCCGATCAGTTGTTTCAGCCTTTGTTCTCATATTTTATTCCCCAGAAACAAATCAAATGATCTGTATTGCCAAAACAGGGCAGATACAATCCTGCACAAACACAGCTGCATTAAACAAACCAAAAGATTAACCTTTTTTTGGATATAGAGAATAAAACTTCAATCTAATTATTGGACAAGTGTTTATTTTACACTCTATTATTATTGTTAGCAGTGGAGCGTTGATGTGCATTATTATAGCCATTAGAATACAATCAAAAACCATTTGTTCATTAATCAGCAGCACCTGGCTGCTTCTTTCTGTATTCAATCTTGTTGAAACATTAAGGGTGCGCTTTGTTTTTTCTCGAACCTTTCTGTTTTTAACTTCCTGTTTAAAATAATAAATGTCACAGAATCTTCTGTTTGTTCTTACATTTCTGATTGGAGTACAGTGATTGCAGAATCTGATAAAGACTGGATCTTTTTATTATGTCCATTCCTTGGATTTAAAGGCTTTATTTTCATTTTCTCCCCTCTCTCTCCTTTATTTTGTTATATGTAACTATACAGAGTTTAATACGAACAAAATCAGATGCTTTAAATTTCAGATTAATGGAAAAAATATTAATTAATATAGAGAATTTCTGTCATTCCTGATTCCATCTGCTTATAGAAGATTTTTCAACAAGGTCCTAATAAACCTAATCTAATAAACCCAAATCCATCAAATTGTACAAAGAAAACAAACGAAAAAAACTCTGTTTTTTGTTGAAACCATGTTTGTTTTTTCAATCAAAAATGTAGTGTCATGTGAAACACAGTCCATTTTAACTCTGGTTTTATTAATTTACATAGTCCATACATCCATATATATATATATATATA